TGAATTACTCTTACATGAAAACAAAAGGTAAAAAACAGTAAAAGTGCAAAACTACCCTTATGAAAAACAGTAGGTAAAATTGTGATTTATTTCAATTGTAGTGTGAGTTTTAACATTACTCTTATCCTTTGATGAATATTTACTACCTGCCAAATATTTCAATGTTGAAATTGAAACATTCTCTCATGCCTATTAGTGGAAATAATACCATACAGGTCCACATAGTGGTTTCACTCAGAGTTCCTAATATACAAGATCTACTAGTGTTCTGGCCATTCTTGTTTTAATCAGAAACTTATCTGTTGCCCTTGTATTCTAGACACATAGCAAGATCCACTCAGATCTGAAAGGGCTGATCACTGCACTTTTTGTTTGGTAACAGTTGCTAATTGCACCTCACCTTCCCCCTCTCAAGTTGATGGCCAGATCCAACCTGGAACTACAGCTGCAGTATTCACTGCTTGCTGTTGGATCCCTTTGACTTGTTTTACCATGCATCAAAACGATAGCCTCATCTACCTCACATTTCACTGAAGTAACCAAACTCTCCATAGAAAAAGCATGTGCTTCACTTCTCCCTTCTAGCTGGAGACATCAACAGCGTTTATTGTGGCATATACACCATTAGAGGACTGGGATAGACCTGTCTGTTCACTGAATACCGGTTTGTCTGAATTGCTGTGGTGGGATATGTGGATGGTCAGTTTGGCTGGGTTCAGACCTTCTACAGTGTGGGTGTCTGAGTAGGACTGTCTGTCTCAGGTAAAATCACTGCTACTGTTGTTAAAGCTTCTCTTCCAATGAGGAATTCAAATTATCACTTAGTATCTCATAGCAACAGAAACTGTAAGAATAAGAAGGTCTCACACATAGGTGTTGTACAAGGATATCCTCACAATTTTTCTGAGATCATTGCAGAGTAAGCTTTACCATGAAAATGACAGAGATCATCCATGTAAGCAGTTAAGCTTTTAATGATTCCCTTCTTCCAAGGGTTGAATTCAGTTTAATAGATTGTCCTGTTTTCCACTGGGTCAAACACTTCGCACAAGTCAGTTAAGACTGTATTGCAGTCCCACTGTTGCTCCTTATCCAAATTCTTAATGTGGTCTACAGCTTGATCATCTAGACTCAGAATTAGGCATTCTGTTTTAGTATCCAACCATACTAGGCAGTTACCTGCCTGAAACCCTAATGAAAATGGTCCAGGTCTTCATTTACTGTACCTTTAAAACAGTGGTAGAATAATCTGCTTTGCAATGATCATGGTCAGAAACATTTTTTTAAATTTCCTAATCATCACCTTATAGAGATGTCTTCGATATTGGCAGCACAATGTGGTTGAAAATGTCAGAGGTCCTGATGCTCTGATAAATGGTAGGCTCCTAATTTGAGGCAATAGAGTAGTGAGTTGTTCTTGGCAGCTCCGTGAACTGCTCTACTGCCCCAAGCACCTCCATGGACCATGTTCACTTTGGCAGTATACTTCTCAAGTTTGGGGAGGCTTGCCATTGTGCTATGATCCACTCCATTCAGCATCTACCCTCTCACCTGTGTCAAGATGACTCAGGTTGGCAAACAGCTTTCACCAGTGGTTCTACTAGTCTCCATTCTCTTGTAACTCCAACCATAGCTGAGGCTAAGCCATTCTGGCTGATATTATTCTGGGCAACCTGTGCAGACTGCTCCACCTGGTCTCAGACTTGCCAAATGTCAACTGACTTTGTCAATCCTTAGTTTTTGTTTCCTTTGTACCAAGGTCAGTCTGACAACTCTTTCGTACAACCACATTCCTGCAGTGACTGACTCTCTCCGAGTCATAAGTCCTACTTGTCAAAAATGTAAATTTTAAAACTTGGAAGCTTTTTTTTTGCTTTTAATAATAAGAAAGTTTAAGTAAAGGGCAATACAGACTTCAGCAACTATAATAGTGAACTCTGTAATAATGATATCCTGGTCACAGCACCAAAATATTTGGACACAAATGTAAAAAAAAAATGAAGAGTTTCTGTTAATATGTGCAACACAAACATGGTGTTTGTATTTGCAGTTTTATTTGTGTCATTCCATTGCTTCTGAGATTTTCTCAACTTCAGATCATCCACCAGACTGTCAAATCTAAGGTTTCTTAGATTTGGAGAAAAACCTCGTGTTCACTGAGCATGATGTCTCTACTATATGACTGGTCATTTTTATAACATATAACTGTAACTTTAGATATCACCTGAGCAATCACTGAAGAACATTGCTGTTGACATCCTTATAGAAGGTCACATTAACCCTCTAAATACGAACTTGATCATTTTGACCACCATTTAATCAGAGTACTATACCTACTATAACTCTAAATTTGCTAAGCGTATCTTCACAAAAGTTGGCATGCTTTTGGTAAACATTACAAATCTATTGTACACAAAAATCAGATTTTTTTTAATAAAGTGTTTTTACTAAGAATGTGTGTCAGTCAGTATGATTCACTTTGACTGCAAGGTGATTTTTATGCTAAGAATAACAATACTTCTTTTCATCTTACAGTTTTCATATTTCACTTACTTAATCTCTAGAACCTCCTAAATAAATATAAAAAGTTTTTTGACATACAAGTTTGTACTTTATGTGTTATTTTCTATACCCTAACACTAACTGTTTCTGAATCATTAGTGTACAGTGAAATGAAACTTTGAAAATTATGAATGAACGTACCCTTTTCTTCTTTCAATACATAATTTATTTCTACGCCTTGAGTTGATGTTATTCACAATTTCAACTGTTTACCTTTTCACATAGTTTATTTTTAAGTTATATAGTTTTATTGCCTGGCTCATACAATGTACAGTTTATGCATCCCCGAAAAGCAACACTTCACAGTGGGAAAACATTTAGTAGATCCCCATAAACCCACCTGCTGCAAACATGAAGTTCGCCCAGTGAGCTAAGCCTTGTTAAAATTTTCTCATAACTTTTTTTGGAAGAAAAATCATTCACTATTTATTTAAATATTTGAAAACATAAAGAATTCACTGAAATAGAATATCTGAAAACAATTATCTCTCTAACTAAGATATTAGTAGGTTAAAAACAAAAATTGGTTAATGCTATGTTACCTTTGCATAATACCATGTTACACAATCAAGAACTGTAATGTATACTATTGCCAGTTTCAAAAGGACCATTGTAAGCTTGAAGTTCAAAATAAACTCTTTCTGTTAGTTATGAATATGTACTGCAAATAAGATTAAGTGGTTTTGAAAACTGACTTGAAAGTTAGGATACATTGGTGGAACTTCTATCATGGGTTTCAAAAAATTGTTAACATCTCAAGGGCTGTAGCCCCTCTAAGAATCCCAAGTTGCTTCTCGTAAATGAATACAAGTACAGAAACTATTTCTTTTTTCATTTGTCCATTTCTTTTGACTGAAGATCGTAAGTAGGTCTTTGTTTTAAATTTAAATGCTTACCTTCTAGTATGTTAAAAGCTATAAAATGTGCACTTCATACAATTTGATTGTGTATTCATTGATTTGAATATATATGTGTGACCTACACAAGATGAAAATTCATTCAAATTCAAATTATGCTCATGAACACTGCCTCATTAGGCACCCTATCCCTACAGCCCAGCCTATTAGACCAAAAGATCTTTGCTTTCCTCCTCCCCCAATTTTTTTAAATAGTGGACCTACGCCTATACACTTGTTTTTACTTACACTACTCAAAGACTCAAAAGGATGATAGAATTAACTTTCTTTTGTTTAACTATCCATTTTTGGCAAGCGCACACACTATCAAGTGGTTATCCTCTGAGATTGGATCTGCCACTGCTGCCAGCACCTGATACTTGGCCTTCATTATGTTGTTACTACTTTTAGTTCATGATCTTTGACGTCTTTTATTCTCCAAAGATTTCAAATGCTTTTCTGCTTTTTTCTAGTCCCACCTTCACATGTGTGAATGTTCTAACCATACACGTAAATTACGATAGAGGAAAGTTTTCATACTTAAACACATTTATATTGAGATGAAATTTTGAAATATCATTCCTGTACTCCTCATACTGAGTAGATTCCTTGAGAAAAATGTGGAGGGACATTAAGGTAAGAAAGTAGGTCAATTTGCAAAGAAAATACACTAAAATCTTAATATAATCATGTAAATGCGATTTTGTAAACTATGTACAAAAATTAACAAAAGCAGTACTTTGTACTTATCCAGAACAATAATCTTAAGTTTTAGTAGAGGTAAGAATTTTATGTTAAGATACAAATTTTCATTTATATACAGTGTGTATATTAAAAATGGCTTGTTTTTGTAAATTAATGGGGTATTTTTCAGTAATGTATTAACAGCACATTCTGTTTCAGTTTAAGTTATTCTCATTTCAATCTCAGTTGGCTCATTATTTCAAATAGTGGATGTATTTTGCCTGCCTCTTTCATACAGTTTAGTAACGAAGAAACCATCCCCAAATGTACAGAAGTCATTAATAGGTTTACATATAAGAACATTTAGAAACGCTTGCTACATTTATTTGTTAGCAGAGTACTACTAATTTATGACATTGGGTATCAAAGCATTTGTGGACTGTATGATGTAAACTGCAGTCTGATAGAAAGTTTTCAGTAATAAATTTTCTTAGTCTACTTTATTTTTTTGTTTCCAGCTATTAGAAAGAAAAACCACACAGTTTTTCATTTGATTCCAAATTTTTACTTTTTGTTTTATAACTAGCCTAATGTTTACAGTATTTGCTATAATTGTTAAAAAGACTGATGAATAATAACTATTTAAACTTTATGTATTGGTTTTGTTAAACAAGAAACAAAGTTCATTTTTAAATAAAACTGTTCTGATGAGGCCAAACCTGCAATAATATTAGATATTGTTGGTAGTGAAAAACAAAATATATTTTACTTCCAGTAATTTGTTTTGTGTCTAGTGATTGTTAATTTGCTGAATGTGTTTTTATGTTTTATGCATATAGTGTACAAATTTATAATTAGGTTCACTGTGTGGAGAAGTGTGCAGCAAAAAATATCAACATTAACCACAAGGTGATGGCTATATACATGGAGGTCCAGCCAGAAATTATCAACAAACGAGTTGAGGCAGCTACAAAGGCTAGTCAGTTTAGTGAAAATTCAAGTAATACAGTGGATATATCTCAGGGAACTGCTTAACCCATATTTCTTTTAATGTACAAAATTAAATAAATAAACTTTTTTTTATATAGAATACATTCCAAGTCTAGAGGTGTTTGTCTTTAATTTGTGGAAAAATGGCAACAAGTTTATTTTCTTTAATTGTTTTTAGTTCAATGGTGCAATGTTACTCTCAGGGTGGATTATACCCATCTAGGTTTGAAATTATTAAAGGCACAAATACTGTAATAAACTTATTTTTTGTGTAACATGCATTATTTCGATAAAGGAGCCAGTAGGCTTTTTTTAATGATAGTTACCCATTAATCTGTGTACAACACTGAAGAAAGTCACCTAAAATCACCATTACTTTAGGTAATACAATATTATACTAGTACCAACACTTCCCAGAACTATATTCTATCTATTTGGCTTTCATATTAATAAGAGCTTTCTAGACAGTTCTTCATGATCTTCCAGTGCCATGGTGAGTTCTTCCAGCATAAGCCGTGCATCCTCAAAGTTAGAACTTAATAATTACTCATGTCTTTGAGCAGCATTTCTACTTCTAACTGATACATGATATCTTTCCATTTCAGGAATGAAATTTTGCCAGTACTTGGTACTTGGACTTATTTTAATGTTGATAATCGGTACCAAGATTTATTTGATCTTTTTTAATTCCCACCTACATGCCTTCCATCCTTCTCTAAGAAAACAGATATGCCACGACTCACAGAATCTAAACAACCATTAAATGAACAACAATAGTTCCTGTTAGCAACAATATCATGAGTTATTTAGCAGTTTTGATGTCAGCATTAAACCATCTGGCTGTGTGACTCGTATGATTGGTCAATAACAATAAATATATCTAAATGAGACGTTTTGTTGGCTGATGTGCTGTGAATGGTGCCTGTCCCTGATATTAGTGTGTATAATGCCTTTTTATCATTCAGTGGAATGGGAAGTAAGTAAAATAATGTTTACAGTTATGAACCTTTAATGTATATTTCTTTCTTTAAAACCATCAAATCAATGGTTTTGTGTATTCTTTTTAAATAAACTGTTATAAATAACAAATATGAGCAAAATCCTTTGTTGTACAAGCATATGAGTACCAGATCTTTTTTGTTGAGAATTTCACCTGTGGTTGCATCTTTATAGTAGAGGGTATAGTTTCCTTAACCCTTTCAGTCAGCATTTATTTCTATTTTAAAGATAAAAAGTCCTTGTACAGTTTTGTTTCATATCAGTTTAGGAACTTGTATATCAAGCTTCACAAACCTTATTATAACCATTAATAAATGACATCATATACCATTTTTGAAACATACTGATTTAACGCACATGAACAATGGTTAATATTTATTTTCTTAGTTTCCAAAGATTTGGGATGAAATGAAAAAATTGTTCATGTATAGTTCTTGATTTATTTTCAAACATATAAATACGTTTAAAATGTGTATATAGAAAACAGAATTAATATTTATAAGTATTTAAAATAAAAGGAAATGTTTCATCATTTTACATGAAATATTTGTAACAATATTTGGTTTATCCAAGCAGAGTGAAATACCACATTTTCGAGAGATGAAGTTTGACTTTAAAGTACATCCATCTCGCAACAAATTCTTTTGGCCTGACAGTTAGAGAAGTGTTTTATTTGATCATACCAGACTTCTGAAATGGATCTGCAGATGCAAAGTTTTATTGATTCCAATGGTTTATCAACTAATGGTCTACTCTTTCTTTCTAGTTTGTTTCTGTTTTGCAAATATTTCATAGGCATAACTCTTTACATTTGTATCATGCAAGTATTCAAGCCAGCTATTTATAACAGCCAAGTCAACACAGTGAAATGTAATACACAATGTCAGTTTTTCTTGATAGAATAACATAACAGAATGACATAAGGAAATCCATCTTGTCCACACCACCCATTGACTTGTTGTAGTGTTTTAATATTTTGGTTTGCTGAATAATTTTCATTTTTCATAATTTATCCCACCCTTCTACTTATGTAAATACACCTGTTCCTGCAAAATTAGAGGCAATATGTGTAAGTTTCCTATCTAGATACTTAACTATAGCCAAATTACCATCACTGGAACTTACTTGGCCGAGGATCCACAGCCTTGTTTTTCAATTTTGAAATGATAATTCTTTCAGGCAATTTATATAAACTGTTCCAGAATTGAGGATACCACTATATTTTTGTGCATGAAGAAGAACTATAGATGAATTTTCAAAATAGATATGATTTTTATGCATTGGAATTTGTAGTTTCAATAACTGCTGCAGCACCAAAACCATACTCCTTTTTCAAATGTTCTTCATGGAATTTGTAGTTTCAATAACTGCTGCAGCACCAAAACCATACTCCTTTTTCAAATGTTCTTCATGGAATTTGTAGTTTGAATAACTGCTGCAGCACCAAAACCATACTCCTTTTTCAAATGTTCTTCATGGAATTTGTAGTTTCAATAACTGCTGCAGCACCAAAACCATACTCCTTTTTCAAATGTTCTTCATGGAATTTGTAGTTTCAATAACTGCTGCAGCACCAAAACCATACTCCTTTTTCAAATGTTCTTCAGTTGAAATGGTTGTATCCTGTTATTCTAAAATATCTTTCATTAATCCACTGGCTCTACATAGCAAAACTAACTTTATTTCCCATGGGCATGGTTTTCCTTTGACATATATATATGTTAAGTTGTCCATTGATAGGATAAATCCAATGCAAAGCTTATGTTCCAGGTCGAGTTCTCTGCATCTTGTTTTGACTGAATTTAGTATTGGTTTAACCTTTCATAATCCGTCAATTTCCTCTTATGTCAGTTACATTTTAAATTATTTTGAAGTTGGAAAAATCAGTTGGGAGTCACCATATCTACAATCAGTGGAATCCTTGATGCTTTATTCCAGTATACAAACAAATTTGGAAGTGGAAGAGTACCAATGTAAATATGCAGATCATCTTAATTCATATCTAGGTTTACCATTTTTAATATGTGGATAATAATATATATACACAGGCCTGCAAATTTAAACTTCATAAAGGTTGTTTTGGTTTGAATAATGGATTTTCCATAATTCAGCTTTGCAGATTTCGAAAATATTCATTTTTTTCTATCATGTAAGGATTTTTTACAAATTGGGAAGAAAAAATTTAATTAGAACAAATTATTATTTCGTTTTCCACAATGAACATTTTCTATTATTATGTTTGTTAACAAAATTACAAACAAACTGAAGAAAAGGGAAACATTGAACAAATATGCATCCTCATTCATCCTGATTTTTTATGTGTGAAATCTATGTCTTTTAGTCACAAAACTACATGTTGTAAGATTGTAGGCTTTCTTTTATGTATTGCATCTGGAGCCTCTGAATTAGGTACTGTTCAAGGAGTCTTTTTTTTTTCATTCAACAAAAGTTAATTGTGAAAAATACAGTCGAGTATGGCTAGTATACTCTCCAACTACTGATTGTGTTTTGTCTGCAAACTCTTCTCAACATCTTCGATAGTGCTGGCTGACACCCTGTTAATTCAAATTCACGAGAATTCTGAGGATTAGAGAAAAGCTTTGCTCACTTTCTTGATGAGACAGTGTGAATTAACCTAGGATTCCCAACTGGAGGAACAGATGAAAAAGGAGCAAGATTACTGGAGACATGTACTTCAATGTGTTGTTGCAGTTGTGTGCACATTAGCAGAACATGGCTTAGCTTTTAGAGGAAGCAATGAAAAGTTTGGCTCACCACATAATGGTAACATTCTTGGCTTGATAGAACTTGTTGATCCATTTCTTTCTAACCATATAAAACATTATGGTAGCAGTGGATCTGGAAAAATGATCATATCTATCTAAAACAGTATGTGATGAAGTTATCCAGCTTATGGCTAAAAAATGAAGGGATCAATTTTGGATGACTTATAAAAGGCAGGATACTTCAGTTTGTTTGTTGACTCTATACCAGATCTGTCATATGTGGATTAATTGCCTGTTATTGTAAGATATGTGACACCCGATGACAGTTTTCCCCACTGAACGCTTTCTAATGTTTCTTGAAGCAGAAAACCACAGTGGTGACTATTTGACTAACATGGTGCTGGATTATCTAGGAAATCACTGTAAAGTTGACTCAGTAAGTGTAGAGGACAGCTAACATGGCTGGGAGGTACAATGGCATGCAGCAAAAACTTTTGTAAAAAATTATGCTATATATATTCTATATGCCAGACATTCACTGAATCTTGTTGGTCATGTTGCAGTTGATTGCTGCCAAGATGCATTTAATTTGTTTGCTGTTATGAACCAAATTTACACATTTTTCTCTGCCTCTACAATATGCTTGGCAATTCTGAAATCATTTTTGGGTCCAGCTTCCACCGTACCTAAACACCTTTCTGACACTAGATGGGAAGCACATGAAAAAGCTACTTCAGCTGTTGTAAAGAGTTATGTTTCAATTATTGATGTTCCTAATCATCTTCATACTGATGACAGTGAAAAGGGTGATACAAGGAGAGAGGGTGGCATTCTGCATGAGAATTATAGTTTGTGTTCATGTTAGAACTGTGGAATTGTCTGTTGGACCAGTTCCGGAAGACCAGTAAAGCCCTACAAGATAAGATTGCTCTTAGCACATGTTCAAAACTTTACACATCTCTGTCTTATTTTTTGAAGGAAACCTGTGAAAGTTCTGACATAACTGAACAAAAAGCAAAAGAAAGCTTACCTGATGTAGACTACAAGTGTGTAAACAAATGGTGATGCTTCTATGCTGATGGCATTATGTGCATTGTGAGTGATAAATTTCGTACCTTATCATTTGAGGATATCATCAATGACTTTTCTATCCAAGAATGTGATGTGCAAACAGATATAAATATACTGAACCTGGTTTGTTGCTTGCATTTAGTTATAACTGATCTATGATAATTCTGTTGTGGATTCCATATATACAATTTAATAATAATCCCAAAATAAAAGTACCTCAGTTAAAAAAATGTAATAATAATAATAATGCAGACATACAGTTTATTGCAAGGCATATGTTTTAGACTTTAGTTATATTAGAGTAGGGT